GTGTGTGTGTGTGTGTGTGTGTGTGTGTGTGTGTGTGTGTGTGTGTGTGTGTGTGTGTGTGTGTGTGTGTGTGTGTGTGTGTGTGTGTGTGTGTGTTTCTTCTCTGAGTTCGAAGCGTATCTCTGCTTTGTGAGTATGGAGGTTGCGGGCCGTCCTGTTGCACAAAAGCGTCTACGCCATGCCTTTGACACCGTGCTACGGGAGCCTTCCGCTTTGGAAAGATGGCGCAGCCAGATCTCGGAGCAATTGAGCAAAGCGAATATGAAAGACCCAAAGCCTCCCTCCAACACTGCAAGGCTCACATTTCAGACTCAGTTCGAAGCTGAAGTCTTTCAATCACCCAGTGGGAGTCCTTGGCTTGAAAATCCATGGTCGGATGCAAACCCTTCACTGACTGAAAGGAACCCCCTCAAGATGTTGAGCACACAATCAAAACTGAGCGTCCAGCTATGTGCCACCGGTGTCCGACAAACTCTTCCTGCGACGCGCGGCGATGGCGCTTGCCAGATCTGCGCCACACGCAGTTCGTCTCTGAGAAGGCTTGATTTCCCATTCATTTGAACTTGTAAGTACAGACTCAATGGTTGGTTCCCTGGTTTCCCTTCAACACACCACCTAAAAGGGAGGTCCCCAAAACCCTGCGCGGTCCTGGATCCAAGGCCTGGCTGAACCCGGAAACCCAACTCAGCGGAAGCCATGCAATCTTTGCTTGCAGGCTATGGTAATGCATCCCTGAGAAAGCCTTAGAATCCTTTTGGGGGCTCTATTTTGCGGCTGTTTCATCACGGTGGTCCAAATTCCTTTGGCCCAGCAGGTGTTGTGATGGCAACGAGCCCTGCCTGAGTCTTTGCAGCAATTGCTGCGCAAGCCTTGCGCTGGCGTCGAAGACAGAACCTTCGCTCGTGGAAAGAATGGGAACCCAGTTGGGTATGGTTTTTGATTGGGGACCCTTTGGACATAATTGAGTGGGAATCGCCAACCATCCGGGTTTATTGATGCGGGGTCAGCTTTCCCCTAAGCATGTCACGCTCACAACAACCTTCAAGCACTCTGTGTCTTAGCCTACCTTAACCTATCTTATCGTATCTTATGCTATCTTATCCTGTCATATCCCATCTTATCCTACCTTACCCCATATCAGCCTATCTTACCGTGTCTTATCCTATCTTATCCTATCATAGCCGATCTCATCCTATGTATCTATCTTATTTATATATATATATATATATGATTCATATGATCCTATGTCATCTTTTTTTATCCCATCATATCTTGCCTGATGCGGTCTTATCCTGTCTCATCCTATCTTATCCTATATTATCCTATAGTATCCTAAAACAGGAAACAGCTGGCCTTTTTAAAGGTTACACAGAGCCAACCAGGAATCAACCCCGAGAGAGGGTATCATGCTGCGCGCTGAAAAAACAAGGTAAAGCAGCAAAACGGTAAAACGGTTTTACGGTTTAACCGTTCTACCGTTTTACCTAAAAATGAGAGGCGGACCTGTTAGCACATACCCTGCTGCTAAACCAGCTTAGCAAGCACTTGCCATGGATGGATCGATCTGATTTGTTGTGGGCTTGCTCATATCGCACTGGCCACATCCCAGCTCTGTCCTAAAATGATTTGGGCAGATTTACGACGCAAAGTCAGGGGATGCTTATTCTGCCCTGCTTCATGTTGTCAAAGTTGCCGCAACTCAGCGGTGCTGCTATCCCTTTGGTTGATGGGATGGACGGTGGTATCAATTCAATTGCTTTGAGTATTGCATCAGCCACTTCTCATTATGCTACGGTCCGAAGAGTTTCTCACTCATTTCTAAGCGAGGCCTTGCACCGCAAAAGTAGGGACTCGAGAACGTATAGCGGGTGATAACTCAAATATCAACCAGTGTATTCTGTTCAGAGAGATGCACACGGCACGTCTCTTGTTTTCCTCCCAACACAGCGATCCAATCTCAACACTCACCGGATTCTGGGCAAGGCACCACTGTCAAATACACAGAAACACAAGCCCTCGGCTGCGAGCTGATCAAGCTGTTAAAGCCAACTTGCAGCGGTTGCAATGCACACACTGGAAAGCTGAGGGTGCCACCGTGGCTCATTTTGGCTTCTTCTGCATCGTCACAGGCCACAGGCAGGACTGTCTCATCTGTTGGATGCCAGTCTGCCAAAGTCACCTACCAGTGCCACAGAAAGTTGGCCATGGGCCCGGCAGCATGCTTGGCGTCCCAAATCTTGAAGCCGCTCTCTAAGCCACCATAGTTGACTGCTTTTGCTTGTGAACATTCCAGGCTGTCAGGCCGTCAGCACCTCACGCGAAGGTGGACTGACCGCTGTAAGCTGTTTCCGCATCTACACACTTCTGAAGGGCTGTCCTGGTGTTTGCTGGTGCTGTGTCCCAAAAGATTTGCAGGCTGCTTCCTGAGAGGCGCCCGTTCTCGGGCCATTGCCATTGCAAATCCCTCGGTGCGGGACTCGTTGGTGAAGACGGGCTTCACCGGCACTGAACCCTTTGTCCAAGGCTTTGTGCATCCAGATTCCACACGCGCACCTTGCCGCCGCCCAAGTCGCGATTCGCACCATTTGGACCGCCTCATGCTTATCCTGTCTCTCTTCACTCTCTTTGTCATCCTCATCCTGCAATCCTTCGACGTCTTGCAGAGCTTGTGCCATTTTATGATGTTGTCCTATGTGCGAGAAGCTTGAGATCCGGCCACCACATAAGCAGTCATTGGGGTATGAGGCGCGTTGGCGCCCAAGTCAAATCCAGGCACGGCATCCACCTGTCGGTGAAGCATGTAGGTCCCGGCTCCTTGTCCACCTGCTGGCCATCCTCAACATCCTCCTTCCTCCGCCTCATCCTCGGATTTTGCATCGCCAACCTTCTACTCTTCAGGCTCCGGTCTTCAGCTGACGCCTTCCTTGTCTTCACCATGCAAGTCTACTCAATGAGCGACGGGCAAAACTTTAATTACTTCTGGAAAGCACTTCCGAACAAAATATCGCCTTTGGGGTGTTGCTATATCGTTTTGCAGTGTTGCCAAGCAACTGCATCAAGCTTTGGGGTTCACAAGCAACTTGCGTAACAGGACCACAAGCTTGATGCAAACCAGTTGCTGGGAAACACTGTAAAAAGCTGCACAACCACAAAAAACAAGTAGCTCGTTGAAGATGTCGTTGCGGTGAACTGGTTGGAAGTGCTTCAAGGCGTGCGCATCGCTCACGGCTACGTATGCATACATGGGCAAGGTCCCAATGGAGGCACTTGAGCAAAGGAAATCGGAGAATTGGCTATCATTTCGTCATCGATGGTGCCAAATGCGTTGCTGTTCTTTCTGGATGTTTGGGTGGTTTTGAGCAAGTTCTGCATAGCGCGGAATATGTACCTTTCGTCACGGGGGGTTTGCCAGCTGCCTTCATGGCTGTTCTACATGCGTCTTCTGGAGCCATGTTTTCTCCTTCCTCCAAACTGAGGTGTGTATCCATGTTCATCCTCAGAGTTGCAGTTTGTGCAAACAAATCGATCGACTTGTTTTTCTGGGCCCGCGAAGCGGCCACAGAGTATCTGTTCCAGGCATAAGATATACCAGCATCCTCCATAATAAATATATACTATTGTAGTAGTTCCGAAATGAAACCAAGTATCTGTACCTAAGGCTAGTGAGATCCGATCCCAAGGCACTCTCCGAACTTTGCTTCCACATGTGGTTTGGCGCTAAGTCTCCCATAGCTTTGCCGTCTTGCATATGTCACACGTACGGGTGCATACGGGATGCAGGAGACTACTTGTAGCTTCCGTGGGTATGAACAGCCACCTCCCCTGCCCCATCATAGCATAGATCCCGACTTGGGGAGTTTTCCATGGCTGTTGCCTGCGCACCTTTACTTGAATTGTGGATCTTATAGCCATTATGTCGGTAAATTGATTTGCTTCGTCCTGCTACTGGCAAGACCGACCTATTGCAAAGTGGAAACAATAAGATGCTGGAAGCCGGGTACAGCAGTCCCTGCTGTGACTCTGCAGTGATGAGCAGTGACAAAAACGGGTTGGTGTCTGTGATATCCTGCAACGGATGGACGGATGCAAGGACGAACGGATAGCGCCTGCAACTATTTCTGTGCTTCCTTCACCACGATAATCATGATGTCAAATGTTCGCCGTTCAGGCCAGATCCTGCCCCCGGTCACTGTTGGGTACGTGTCGAAATTTGGACCCCGAAAATGGTGGCTTTCCTTCTTAGCTTCCCTTCCTAGAAAAAGAGAATATTCAATTTGCCTATCGAGGCGTCTCTGGCCTCTCAATCCGATTGCAGGCCCCCAGCCTTGCAGGCCGTCGGAGACGTCCACGAAGCCAGCCTACGTCCCGCTTCGCTTTGCGTGGACTTTTTGGTGGACATCAGTTTTTATAGTTGCTTGTGGTCCAGCTGTTGTGCCTGCCACCCCCAACCCCAAGCACCTCAGCAGCCAAAAGTACTTGTCCACATTCTCCAGCACTGCAAACCAACCTGACACAAGCACACGCGCGCATGGGTTTGTCCCCAAATATAAATCGGTGGTTCCCCTTGGTTCCCGTCCAAGAAAACTAATTAAACACCTTTTCCACCAAATGTCAGGTTCCGATTTTGTTTACCAATTGTCGGTCGAACGAAGTTTCGATAAGTGTAAGTTGTGCTTGCCCCAGGCACCGGCTCAGTCCCTTGCCGCACGCTGGCGTTCACCTTCCGGACATGGACTGCATGCAATTGGTTGCCGGGGGCTCCACTTTTTGACCCCAACTGAAACCAGGGCTTCCCCACAAAGAGGTTCCTCTTGTCACGGTTTTTGAAAGAGCTTCTGAGGAGCCTGGGTTTGACTCGGCCTTGGCATCGAAAATGGGAACGGTGTACCCCTTCCACGGGCCTCCAGGCAATGAGCCGTAGGCAGCACGGGGGGCCTCCGGGTTGAACTGTCCAGAGCAATCGAGATGCTGAGAAAACGGAGAGTAGAAGCGGGCTTGGGTTTGGGAAGGGTGAATCTAGGTTGCCTTTGGGTTGGAACGTTTGGTGGTCCTGGGGTTGGTTTGGGGGTGGCTTTAGGATGGAGATCGGGATGGAGTTAAGATGGTGTGGGGTTGATTAGGCAGAATTTGGATCATTTGGCTGAGTCAGGATGCAATTTATGTGGGCTCGAGGCAGTCCTTTAGTGTGGGATCCATGCTTATATTAGAACAGTTCAAGACAAGGCCGACTGATCTTGTCCATGCAATATTAAGTCAAGCGACCTGGAGAGAAGCAGCTCGTCCTCTGAGAGCCTCCTAATCGACCTCAGAAAGACGAAAAGCTTGCCGCACCAAGCATGCGAATTGCACAAAGACTTGTGTGGCACCACTATGATGCCTTTTCCGCCCTGGCTGTACTGATCGCCCGAAGGGCTCAACATGGCCTGACCGAGCGCTCCGAGAACAGCTTCATGCACACTCCGGAATCTGAGGCTGGGCTTTCACTCGGCACATGGTCAAACGAGCGCATCAGATTCTGCACTCATGGGTCTATTCGCTCGATCTCATATGCAGATGCGACCACCACGTCCGCACCACCGAGTAGAACAGTGAACTCCTCCTCGTCCACAGCCAGCACGTTCCCTACTTCGCCAGAATGCTCGCCTGAAGTCAACTTGACTGTATCGCCAACCGCCGGAAGAACTTTGCCCGCGTCACTGTGTTCGCTGTGTCCTGGCTCAGCAGGCCCCTCCTGATTTGCACTTTGCCGTCTCTCCTGAATCAGGGTTGTCTGTTTGAAGAAACTGAGGGGTGGGTTTAAAACCCACACTCCCACCCACCCTTTTGAGGGCCACTGAAATCGATATGTTTTTTCTTCCACCAACCAACTTGAAATGGACGATGCTGTCCTGAACTTGCTTGGCCAGCCAGCCAGCTGCCAGAAGTGGGGGCAACGCCTGCCCTTGCTGTCTCCGAACCTGTAGACAGCCCTTGGTCATCTGTGTCTCACAAGCTGAATCCCGCAGAGAAGATTCGATCTCAACGTCTGTTGTTACGCCCAACTTCTTTACTCGGTTGCAGCCGAGTATCCAGCTGGCATCAAGCCAACCTCCTTCATTTGCAGATATCTTCTCGTAAAAAAATGTGTCTTGTCTCAAGTTTTCGTCACTCAGGTAGTACTCAATCTGACGCCGCAAAGCGACTAGCCTCTCTTCATCCGACATCTTCTTGCCGGCTTGGCGCTTTCTCTTTCGGGGGCCACGCCTAGGCTTGGACTTTGTGCTTGGCACTTTCTCTCCGTCAGACAAATCAGCATCATCCGCACAGTCTTGTGGACTTGACGTCTCATCGATTGATTTGTGCTCGTCTGCCTCTGCAGCCTGAATCTCGTCAGGAGAATCTCCCACCTCACCAGAATGCTCGTCTGAAGTCAATTTGATTGTATCACCAGCAGCCGGGGGAACTTTGCCCGCGTTGCTCTGTCCTGGCCTCTCTTCATCTGGGTCAGGCGCATCTTCAAAAACGCTGCCTACAACATCATCATAAACGGTGGACACACTCATTGAGTTGTCCAAACAGCTCCATCGATCGCTTGAGCCGTGCTTGATTCCGTAGCGCGAACCCGGACTCATCCCGATCGCTTTGTGCCCGATTGAAAGTTGGTCAAGCAACCATCTGAGCAGCGCCCGAAACCCGTTGACTTTGGATTCTACAGAGTTACAATATGGGCCTTGCTCTAATTCCTATCAAACCAGATAGAACCACCTGGTTTAAAGAGGCACTGGGAGTTTTGGGCGCTCATCTGTCTCCAAGACTCAGGCTGCATGGATTCGAGCCGTCATGAGCCCTATTGTCCTTTTGTTGAGGAAAGGTATTACAAACAACAACCATCCAAGTCAGACTAGGCAAATGGAAGAACAGGGTCTGACAGAACCAAGAAACTCTCAAGGTCAAGAGTGCAATGCCATCCACAGCCACCTCTCGCTGAGGCTGTGGTGATACATAGAAACTAAATGGTATGGAAATCGTGCATCCATCTAAATCTTGTTGCCATTGGCTGTGTACAGCTCAGAGCCACAAGTCTGCGAACATCATCGCAGGATGAGGCAAACAGCATGCTTGCTCCGGAGGATTCCGCCAAAGTCTAAACTGCCCAGCCTTGAAAAAAGCTTCGTTCGGGCCTCTTATCGCAGCATTCCCGCTCGCCCTTTTGCATCGCAGTGAACGGTTGCCGTGATGGAAAGATATCTCTTTGGACCGTGCAGCTTCACACAGGTCGGCGGCACATCCACGATTGCTCATGGATTTATGGATTTCAATTAAGTGCCTCAAAGGGGGCAACCAGACGGCCTAAAACAAACAAGACTGGGTGAAAACTCGAGAAGCTCAGACATAGATGCCCCGTGTGGGATAGTTGTGGTACCTGCCAAGACCAACCCACAGGCACGCTGCCATCAAACATCCCGCAGAATGGGATTTTTGAGACATGGAGTTACAGATTGCCGGGAATGAGCACGCATTGTTTTGGCAAGCAATATAGCTTGTCTGCACAAACAACGATACAAGCAGGATGGTATGACAATGAGAGTGGTTGACCAATGCAAATCATCTGACAAGCTCGAGAAGCCTTGTAAGCGGATGCATATAGTGCGCAGGCAGTGAAGAAGCTGCAGGGGCCTTTTAAGAGCGCAGTACA